AGAGACACTAGGCTATTTCGTAACAGGAGAGATGAAAAATGAGCAATGCCCTCGCCGGGATTTGAACCACGAACCTCTCGAATACGCGTCGAGCGTGCTAACCAGTACACCACGAATGCATGCTAAGAAGGAGGGCACCTTATAGTGTACGAATGCACCTTATAGTGTAATACAATTTTTTTATGAAATGTGTATAGGAACTAGTTCCCTAAAAGTGTCCTCCATAAAAGCGTTCCTTCCTTTAGGCAGAGAGTCCTCCAGTGCTTTGCCTTAATCAGACAAACCAAACCAAACACTACTGACTGAGTCAATCACCATTGCAAAATCCTGTGCCTTTTTTAACAATTCGTTCAACTTCGTAAGTCAAAGGCGGTTTCTTACTTTACTTTCTTTTTTTTTCTTTTTTTCTTTTCTTTTCTTTTCTTTTCTTTTCTTTTTTTTTTTTTTGTAAAAGTATCATTATTGTTGTTATTATTAGATTGTTCCTGCTTTCAGTGTGAGCTGATGTTATAAGGACATCCAATTCTTCATTTCTCATTTCTGGATAAATTCTTTAATTTCTCCTTCTTCCACATCTGAAAATCATTCGGTGCCAATTGATTTTGCAATCTGTATGATTTCTTGGGCTGCATTTTCAGTCGATGGAAATCCTTTAAAATTGTTGACAACTCCTGGTCAGAGCGTCGCCAAGTCGGTATAGTGGTCAGGGAAGCTGACTGCGATGCCGAAGGGCCTGGATTCGAATACCGGAGAAGGCATGGTTGTAACTGTTCGTCCCTTCATAGGAAAGGCGATAGTGGCCCATATATTAGGTGCCTCCGTAATAAAGAGCCCGCCACATCCGGCCTTGTATAGATTAAGGGACTGGGTTACACTTGAAATTATTCACAATCTGCCATTGGGGGAAAAAAATAGAAAACTTCTGGTCAGAGCTGATACCAGCAAGTATTAAACGATGATGATGGAACGTTGAACCGCGTATGAATGAAATTCTGGCATTGGGCAACTAAAATCGAAACAGTTAAGATAATACGCATTTGCGAAATCGCGTTTCGAAAATCCACGCTCGGCAACTGTATATTCCGTATATTCATGTTTAATGTATATTCATCTTTAAAGCTAAATTTTCATATTTCTCAAAAATGTTTGCTCTCAGTTTCTAAGGTACGAGGGCTATTTGTCTTAGTAAAGGGATGCCTTCGTGCAAGACCATTTTAAGGGAAACAGACTCATATTTACGTTTTGCGTGGAGAAATCTTCCAGGCAGCCAACTCATTCGCTGGCATTCGAAAATAGGTTAATCCCTCTATTTTTTTAACTGCAATTTTAACTCTTCGTGTTCCACAACGCAGAAAACGAAGCTTACATAAGTAAGTTATACCACTAACAAAATAAACAAATGTACAGTAGCACTGCAAATAGGTAAAAATTATTAAAAACAATAAATAAATTAAAATAATAAAGAAAGAAATTATTTATTATTTACTAAAATAATAGTTTATTATAAATATATTTATTGAATAATAAATAATATTTTAATTAAATAATAATTTCTTAAGATAATTATTATTTTAGTATTATATAAGTAAAAGAAAAATAAAATAAAACAAAAAGTAATAAAATAATGATAACTCAATAATCTAAATTGAGAATGATTTTTTTGAAAAGCAGAAATTTTCCTTTTAATCCGAATAAGTTCACCAAAATTTGGTGACCAAGATAGACAGACACAGGTGCTTTACAGTTGCCTGAAGTATCTTCCTCTGCTGGATATGATGAATGCATATAAGAGGTTTAACATTCTCATCGCCGATACCGCACCTGCACAGAGCACTTGAGATCAGTCAAAATCGCTTTAAATCCAAATCGCTTTTTAAAACCGCCATGACCAGTCAAAAATTGAGTTAATTTAAAATCTGTTGAACACTGATCAATTTTTATCTCGTGAAAAATTGTAGGAGGAGGGGACTTTGTCCATTGTGCTTTTGGTGAGGCCAGATATTGTTTGTTCCTAATAGAGATAGCATCATTTCTATAAAAACGCTTCACTGAGCAATAGGAATACAAAGATTTAAATCAATATGACGTAGAATAGTTAATCCCTATATCAAGCGTGCTGCTTTGTGTATATTTAAAATTTTTTGATTGTAAGGCTTAATTTACCTTTATTTTCATTAAATTCCACAAAAGCATGCATAAATTTTAAACTGATTTGCTTAAAGAGGCTGTTAGATTCAGTCTACTGCCCGATTTATCATTTGATACCTTCTGTAAGTCTGAGCGTTATATAAATATTAAATATTAATAATTAGCCATAAAATATGTTCATTTTTCATATGTTCATAAACACAATTTTTTGTTCCATTTTAAATATTAAATTGTTAATTATTAATTAAGTTTTTGAATGATTTTGGTTAATTCATTAAAGAAAAGCATTCAAGTTGCGCAAACGCTCAAGAATATGGCACCCTTTTTATTTATTTAACTTTGTTATTTTAAAACGGTGCTTCTCGATATGTTTCAAAACTCGAAGTTAACTATCATAATTTATTTTTTTAAATGTATTTCTAAAATGTTGAAGCCAATTTAGCGTCTTTTTTTGTCATTATTCACCTGAGAGAAGTACCTCAATAACTTCCTTCACCCTTGTTCTCTGTGTAATGTTACCTATTACCTAATACATTTAATTTACCGGTAATTAACACATTTAATTTACCAGTGTTATTCAATACCACTAAATTAAATGAGTTTCCTCGCGTTGTCACTTTCGGAGTAAACACGGATATGCGATCGGTATCAAGAACAAGCGCTGTTGAAGGATTTTACAAGCAACCCAAACAGATCGGTTATCAAAGATATGGCAGATACAATGTATAAACTATTAGAATTTTTCGGCGTCAGGAAACTGAAGAAATCTACAATTCCCTAGTCAAGATTCGAACTCAGGGCCTTTCGAATACGTGTCGAGCGTGCTTCCAGTTACAGCACGAAACCATGCGGAAAAGAGGGAGAAAATGCCTTATATTCTCCTTCTTTTAAAGGACGACTGGTGACGTGGGGACCTAATCGCCAAATCCTGATAGTGACGAATTGTCGCTTAGCACTTTTTTTTTTAGTTCAGGCGCCATTATAGAGTCATTTTGTAATTTTTTCGATGTCAAGAAACTGAAGAAATTTGCAGTGCTCCGTTAGGGATTGGAACTCCGGATCTCCCGATTACGCGTGGGGCGGGCTCCCACTTACACGGAAAGGAGGTTATTCGGAAGGAGGGAGAAGGTACCTTTTAAAATGATAACTTATTTCAGCAAGATGAAAATAATAACATTTTGAAACATATCACATTAAAATATTTATGTATATTGTTTGCGTGGAATTTAATACTACAAGAAACAGAATAAAGGCCTTGCATTCAGAAGCTATAAAGGTCGATAAATCTCTAAGCTTAACAAAAGGCTACGTCTTTCTTCGCAGACGAGCAAAAGTATTTCCGGATGCAGTCTTGAGCAATGCAATAATGCAGTTTTGCAGATCAATATATCAACATAATTTTAACACAAAAACAAAAAAGAAAAGTTGTAGATTCGTAAGGTTATTTTGAAGCAGGAGACATGAAAAATATGCAATGCCTTCACCGAGACTCGAATTCTGACGCTGTCGAATATGCTTCTAATTACCCCACACAGGCATGCGGAAAGGAGGGAGAAAATACCTTATCAAGTTAATAAATCAGGCTGTCAAGAATTACTAAGGAATCACTAAGGAAACGAATGTTTCAGAAAAATAATTTTTATGTAGTAGATATTAAAGAAAGAAGCTTAAACTAATGTTTGAATCTCGCAACTAAAATGGAAATTCGAAAAATCATGCGAAAAATATCACAATTTTCATCTTCTAACTAGTGAAGATTAATGTAAAATTGGATTTAAGTTATTTAAAAGCAAAAGCTTAGATTTCAGAATGATATAAATAATGCACAAATTCAGTCAAAGTTAGTCAAGCTAATGCAATAAAAATTGCAGAAAAATGGAGTTTTAAATCCATGCTATTTCATAAATTCTGGAACTAAAACAACTACAAGCTTACATTTAAAAAAAATAATTCTGAGACAAGGTTTATTTCGATATAGCACATGGTTTATTTCGATCATATCCGAATCTGGAAACAGCATTAAAACTATATTTAATATTGCCAGTTATTATTAATAGTGGCAAAAGAAGCTTCAGCAAACTATAACATAACTTCAGCAAAAGTTATGTTAAGATCTTTACGTGGTTAAGGAAAACTTTTAGACATAGTCAGTCTCTCTATATTGAATATAAACTAATTGATCAAATATATTTTGAAAAATTATATGTTATGGTTATTAAAACTACTTGAAAAATAAGTGTAGTATGTTAGTTACATTCCTATTGATTATGTTAGCGATGTCTTTTTTATTATGTTAGTTACATTCCTATTGATATTATTTCCAAGTTACATGCTGCTTATCAAAAAGGAAATTTTTAATAGTTTTCGATTCAAAATGGTAGTTAATTCCATGTATCATCTTCTGAATGTAAAGCTATGATTAAATATTCTTGAGAGAGTAATAATGTTATGATTTGAAAGCGTTATCTTTAATGAATGTTAAAGAGCAAAAATATAGTTAACTTATATGTGTTTAATACTGTATATTTCTCCTTCAACATTTTTTTCGCAAGGGGGGGGATGTCATCAAATAGCCGGGCACTTTGGACTGTATACAGGGGTGCAATTCACATTTGTCTCAGATGAAAATATACGTACAGATGAAAATAGGTACGGCTCTGACAGGCACAATCATATATAAATACTGTAACTTAAAAATTAAAAACATGTTCTAAAATAAAAGGAAAATTTCCTCGTAAGCAGTATTAGAAAAAAAAAAGAAAAAAAAAAGCTATCGCCAAACGGGCGATTTATGAAAAAATATAGCAACCTTCTTTTGTCAGAGCCCTCATGATCCTCGCAGAAAGTGGACACGTGCGTGTTGATTGTGGTGTTCTACTAAGTTTTTTTCGGCTGCAGTGCTAGAATTTATGCATTTATTTCAAGTTCTCCTAACGCAAGGTACAAAGATCTGAATGTATTTAGTCAGCAGTTATAAAAACTCGAATTAGGATTCCTAGCACGTGCGCACCAGGTATTTTTAGCGCGGAGATCTTCGATTGGGAGAAATGTGGACGTTAAAAAGCGAGTAGGGATTATCGTCGATATTTCGTGCCGCTAGTCATGGAACTTATGCAGAGGGAGCCTGAAGAAAATTCTAATTTTTTTTCGCGCAATTCAGTTTTTCTGAAATATAAGACGCTTATTCTCGTTGGAATAACAGTAAGTCTACATTTTACATATAATTATATATAGTGTTTATATTTTGTAGATTTTTTATTTTAATGAAAACATCTGTAATTGTTTTCAATTTTAGGTTGATTTTTTTGAATTTTTAAAAATTTTATTTTATGCCTACTTCATTATAAACGTCCAAATTTACCGTTTCTTTCATATAATGTTAAGTAATTTAAATTACCGGTTAGAATTCGAAAATATTCTAAACATTCATCACATATTTGACAAATCGTGAGTTTTTTTAATTGCTGCCTGTAATTATTTACATATATTGCACGAACCTGTTACAGTTTACGCCTTGCTATGAATGATATAAAATCTAAGTAAAGAAACCGTAATTTGATGTAATAAATTAAGAGATAAAGCGTGCGTTGTTAGTAGACTAAATAACAGGTATTATTTGCAATTAGTTTGCATGTATTTAGATTGCACAAACAACATTTCTAGGCTGAAAGCGCATCTATTTTAATTTTATTTACCGAAGATTTGCTTTCAAATGTAATTTTTTTTTTTTTCTTTACGCTCAAGTCGCTAAGGGAATGATTCATTCAATCATCGCTACGCATTACGCTGAAGCCGCCAAATGAATGACAGGGCTGAATGAGCTCACGGTCAAGGTCCTTTGCTCACGGTGTTGCGTTCAGTTTTCCCTAAAGTGGGGAAAAAGCAACTGAATGGTTTATCGTGTTTTGGCGAGAATTTAAAATATTTTGTGACTTTAATAAGAATAATTTTTTTCCTCTTTAAATAGCCGTAATTTTATTCTGAGTAGAAGGATATGTTTTACTTTCATTTAATTCGAGAGAAAACAATAATACAAAGTTTTTTAAGTATTTATTTATTGCCTATTCTTGTTTTAATTAGTTATAAATGAATTTCTGTGGTTTATTACATGTGTGATTCTACTTCAGTTTTATTAGTAAATATACTATTTGAAGTGAAATATTTTATTAGTAAATATACTATTGGAGTGAAACATTATCAGTAAGAAAGGTCAAATCCGTTTTAAAGAGTGTGATTCAATGTTTGAAGCTGTTCAGTATCATTCTGTTGTTAAGGGCAATTAATAAAAGCAAAAAGAAAATCTCATAAGTAATTCTCAGTTAGTGTTTTGATGCCTGCGAAGCATGTGATGGTGATGGTGTCATTTACAGTCTCATAAGATTTCTTTCAGCTACCGAAATACCTTAAGTGGGTTTTGTAATTTTTTTTCATTACCTGGCTGTATCAATTTTATAAATAAACAATAATTTAGACTTTATTTTGGTTTCATAATGAAAATGCTGTCTTTTAAAATGTATTTCTGTTAATGTGTCTTAGATTTGAAAAGAAATAATCTTACTTAATTTCAACAATGCGTGTTATTAGATTTGTTCACTAAAATCAACACTATATAAATACAATTCAAAATAAAAAGTACGTTGTTAACATATTATATTCCTGGCTTTTACAGTTGTGAATTTTTTATTTCATTAGGTATTTTTCATATTTTTGGCGGTACATGAATAGCTTAACAATCAGATCACATTTACACAATAGAAATTTTATCCTAGTTTTGAACCATTATTTCCTAAACAGAGAAACTCATTTTCTGCATTTATTTTCAACATTTCTGAACCTTTCTTTTACAATTAACTCTTGATTAGCCAAGGCAGTAGAGCTGATAACACCCACAGTTAGCTCAAAATCAAGGATAACTTGAGAGCAGTTAAAAAATGCTAGGGAGATGACTTATTCATTTGATAATTAATAGAAAGTACTATTAACAGTTCATCTGTATTTTTTAGCAGTTTAATCTGAAAAGTAAGTTCATTTGGTTGTGCAAATTAAATCAATTTTCAAAACAAAAAGATCACGTTGTAAATAAAAGAAGAATATGCATCAATAAAAATGAAGAAACTAAGTTATATATCACTATGAAATCATCTGTTATACCCTACATTTCTCTTTCCGTTTTGTATTTTCCACAGGCAGTTTTGTTATGTGCTTCTGGTTTGTGATAATACTTTTTCCACGGTAGTGCAATGAAAACAGAACTGGAGAAACTAAGTTATATGTGACTATGAAATCATCTGTTTTAATTGCTGTTATGCCATGCATTTTTCTTGTCCTTGTTGTATTTTCAACAGGCTGTTTCGTTATATGCTTCTGGTTTGTGATAATAATTTTTTCACTGCAGTGCGATAAAAACAAGGTCTGATTAATTTGCAAACTCTTTAATTAAGAACTGACTATGTTTTATTTTTTTTTTTTCCTCCCAAATTCATAAGTTTAAAATTTTAGTTTATGCTCCCCCTTTACAGGTGAGTAGACTTATAACTCAAGTAAGCTTTAAATTCAATCTTATTATTTGAAAATTTTTCTTATATGAACCAAATAAAATATATATTTTTGATGAAACTTCCTTAATAAAGTCTCTCCAAACTTTGTGGACTGTGACATTATGTTTTCATGAACAGTTAGTCAATAAAGTCTGCGTACATCAAGAAAAGTAATATCAAATCCAAATTTTAAGGTGCGAAAAGGGTAGTTTCTTAAAGTTTTATTTTTTAAATATTTAGTTTCTATAAGGGACTTTGAAATTATTTAACTGTAATATTTTCATATTTAATAATTTATGCGCTCTAATTTTTAAAAGATAAGTGGCCAGAAATCAAAGCCAATAAAGTTTGCGTACAACGCGAAGGAGGCAGGGGATTTTTTATCTAACTTTTAAACTTCAAATTTGAGAATGCAAAGAAGGTTACATTTTCAAGGTCATTGACCTTCGCAGCAAATTTCACGTTGATTGGAAGTTGCAATTTCTATTTTCTTTGACGAAAATGACAACCAATAAAGAAATTCATTTAGTTACGAGACAACTAATTATCAAATTGAGAGATGAAGGTAAAACTCTTCGTTATATTGGTAAAACCATTGGAAAACCATTTTCTAGTGTGCAAAGAGTTATTCAAAACTATCTTGACACTGTTAGTCTTGCTGTAAAACCAAGATGTGGGAGACCGAAGAAGCTAACGCAGAGAGAAGAAAGAAAAATTCTTTTACGAATTAACTAAAATCCTAAACTTTCTGCTGCAAGCATTGCAAAAGAAGTTTTTTTAACTAGCAACAAGGAAATTTCTCCTGAAACTGTACGAAAAGTGCTGCGAAAGTCCGATCATCATGGACGCAAACCTAGGTCTATGCCATACGTTTCCGAGACAAATAGAAAGAAAAGCATTGCTTTTGCCAAAACATATTTAAACTCTGGCAGGACTTCTGGAACAATGTAATTTGGTCAGATGAAAGTAAATTTACAATATTTAAAGTTAATGGCCACCCTATTGTATGGAGAAAACCAGGAACAAAACTGAATCTGAGAAATTTAAATGCAACTGTCAAACATGGAGTTAGCGATGTGATGGTATGGGGGTGTATGTCGTCGAAAGGAGTTGGAAATTTTCACATTATTGATAAAGTCATGGATAAGTATGTTTATCTGGATATTCTGAAGAAAAATCTACGAGACAATGCTCGAAATTTAAACCTTTCTAATACCTTTATTTTCCAACAAGACAACGACCCGAAACATACAAGCTAAAATTGTGAAGGAATTTCCTCTATCACACTCCAAGACAGTTGCGTACTCCTCCACAGTCACCAGACCTCAATCCAATCGAACATTTGTGGGCAAAATTGGGAAAAAGAAACGAATTCGAAAACACAATATTACGTCGCGAAATGAAGCTAATTAGTCAATTGCAGGAAGAATGGGCGAAATTTACGTCGGATGACACTGAAAAACTAGTTCCAGTCAATGCCCAGACGTCTGCAAGCTATTTGAAGAATAAAAGGATATCCTATACAAAGTATTGAAGTAATGTAAAAAACTTATATTTTGCTTTTTTTTAAAAAGTGTACGCAGATTTATTGGAGGGAATTTCTGAGTTTTTTTTGACAAAATATATTTTTGAAAAAAATGTAAAAAGTATTACACTGATATTATTTACTTTTTATTTAAGCTTACAATTTTAGCTAATAGAAGGAAAAAAATGCAATGATTAAAATACATTTTTCTATGCTTTAAGTGTTTTTTTAATTTAAAATTTAGTCTGTACGCAGACTTTTGTGACTAACTGTATGTGTACTCTACTGCACGTCTTCCAAATTGGTATAGTGATTAGTGCTCCTCGCCATTGTATCGTTCGTTGGCTCCAGGTTCGAATTCCATAGAAAATATGCATGCTTGTAAACTTACGGTGCTTGTACGGCATAGGGGCGCTCAAAGTACGTGAACAGCAAGAAGATAGCATAAGAAGCATGGGAATCCTTCAAACATATTCCAAGAGATGCCAGCTCAAACTTAAATACAGTTCCTTTTTTCTGATGGCGATGGTGAGATAACCGATATTTCTGTTCCAGTGTCAATTAAAAAATTGGTTGCTGATGTGTTGGCAAGAATGCATATAAATGATTCAGCTCATTCCATCGATTTTCGATCGTCAGTGAAAGCCAGAGATTCAGTTTTCCTGTTTCGAAACCTGATATCTGCATGGCGGTATGCACTTGTAAGCTCTCTCGCCAAAGCGTTGGTGAAAGTAACAGTTCTTTGGGTCACTGTATTTTTGGAACGATTTCTCGAATTCGATCTGTGTCTTCTTTGTGGACTGGAATGTCTACATCTACTCATTTCTGCTATCTGCAGTGCTAACCTTGATATCTGTTTATCTAAGGTGAGTTTTTCTGTTTTTCTGAAGTGGATTGAGATTTGATTTCCTGTACCTTGTCAGCCATTTTCGATGGTTTGGACAAATCAGTTTGCTGTTTACAGCCGAAATGCTCCGCATATTAAGCGGTAGTCGTTGCATCCAAAATGTTGTCAAAAATTCATACGGCATCTACTCCGTCGCTAAGTTGTGCATTTCGCGGAGAAGTTGGGATGGTTTCCTGTTACCCAGTTTAATTCAGTCAAAAGTATCTGAGTTTTCTGTGATTCAGAATGAGCA